TTCCAAAACTTATTGTGTTAAAAGTTTACATGAGTGGCTGATTATTTTTTTTTCTAGTTGAGATTTAGTAAATTCTAATAATGTAATTGTGAGATCGAATTGGATTAATTTATGTTTTATTTAAATTTTGGTATTTATTTATTTTTCTGCATCTATACATATGTGCGGTCTTGAACTTGTTTAACTAGGACCTTGAATGCTGGAGAGACAACAAACAATGAGTCGAACCCTCAATTCTTTTAATTGTTTGAATAGTTCCGGCACCTAGTACCGATAACTGTTGTACTAAGGAGCCAAGTAATCTAGTTGACCGGTTCACGCGGATGAATCCAACAACTTTAATCAAGTTCTTCTATTTCTCAAGACTGTTGATAAGTTAAATGCTGTGAACATTTTCAAGATTGTTTGGCAGCAAAGAACTAACTAATGAACGTTTTTTGGTTGGTTTATAAATAAAAAATAATTGTTTATCAAAACGTTTCCAACAATTATAAGTGGTTTATTAAAATTTAAATAAAACGAATCCTTACATCTATGATCAATTACATTACTAGAGCTAGCTATTTCATCGACCAAGAATCATTCTTATAATTGTTTTAATTTCTAATTTGCAGCCAATAATTTATTTAATATTATTCTGCCTATTGTTTATTTTATATTTTTACATATTAGATTCTATAAAGCTGCCCTTATTTGCTTTTTATTCATTGGTCAATGAAGAAAATTAATTTCCAATTCCTTGTGGATTCAATCATTCTTACTACTACTATAATATTATTTTATTAGTTAATTATGATTTTATTTTTTGTAGATTCGACACCAATCAAAAATAAATCTTGGCTATTATAAAGATTACAAGAACACTAAACAAAATTTCTTAGTTCTAAGGAGGGTTTCAATAATAAAATCACGACTTGAGATATTTATCAATTCAATTTAGATTGATATACATTATACTCATCCAAATTTTTGTGATTTATTTGTTAACTATTTGTTTAATTGATATAGACGTAAATATGTGTGCGTGTTTATTAGATAACAAGATCTGTACCAGAATAAAAAAATAGCCCTGCTTCTCCAAAGATAAAAATCGATTTTGTGGTAGCATGGAAAACCTTCCTGAAAGATTTCCCCAAGGCCTAGGAGTCGACAACAAAACTTGGGCACTAGTTGAAGAGAAAGGTCCGAAGGGTACCCGAAATAAGGAAGCTACTGGGCCTCATGGTCTCTGCCTCTAAGAGAAGTTTAGGACTTCGTATGGGTCTGGGTACTCGTCGGGTACACATATGTGGGCAAGCTAGAGAATTTTGAAAGCTACTTGCACCCACGAGATTTTAGGAAGAACCTGTGTCTAAGGGGTTTTTGGACGCGAGCAAGAAGTAGGCAGGACGTGCGAAAAGCCCTTTCCCTGCACGTTAGATCGCGCATATGTGTGGGTGCCCAGTTGCACATGCAGGAGGCCTGCGCTCGCGGACACCCCATCAAATGCATGCAAGAGCATACCATACGCCCAAACAAGGCACACACGTACGAGGGACCCCACGCGTATGCAGACACGCTTCAGGCGAGTGCAGGAGGCAAGAGCACATGCAGCATGCGCAAGAATTGTCGTGTACATGGGCGGGCCGTGCATGCCCACGCTGCACGAACACACGGCACCTGACATGCATGCGGACATGCCAACCACACATGTCACACGCCTATCTTGAACTTGCAGCAACCTTGGCCGGAAATTCTATCGTTTTCTTTAATTTTTTCATGTGATTTTATCCCAAATCACATGTGAAAATTGTCTTAATTATTTTAGTATTTTATTTATTCTTATTTTAATATTAATTTATCCCTTACGAATATTTAATTAATATTTTTAGGATAAAGATTAAGACAGAATTTTATTTTATTATTTTTAAAGTTTTTGTATTCTACTAGAATTAATTCAGTAAAAGCTTATATAAAAATCTCACCTTATGATGTAATACACACAGTTCAATGATTAATAAAGAAAATTTTTGCTTAAATTAGCTTTATTAATTTTTCAAGTTCTTAAAGCATCTTCAAGTCATGGTATCCTTCTCTATTTTTAAAATTTTTTTTTCCAATTCCTGGATAAGCCTTCAATAAGTTGATTGTGATTTCAGCAGGAACGATTTTAATTTAAGTAATTAAGTTTTGTATGTTGAATATAATAAGTTCATAATTGATGTGTTTTCAATCCGAAGAGTAAACACTCTCCACCTTGCATCATAACAAGTTCACTTAATTGACCTATATTAATTTTTAGCATGAAGAATTACTTATTTATCAAACTTAGAGATCCTTTATAATAATTGTGGAGATTGATATTTAGATATGAGGTGTGATAATTGTCAATTTCATGAACTTTTCACTATGCTCTAATACTGTTAATTAATGAATTGAAAAAATGATTTCTAATTGGATTAATGAGATTAAGCTACTGAGTTATATAACATTTATAATAAATGACATGAGACTTGACATAATATTTATACGACATTTTTATTCGAGATATAGTGTGATAGAAAGATGTTACTGTACAACAACTACTTAAGTTAAAAAGGTTAGTAATATTCCAAGATAAATCTTTGTTATTTGTCTTCTTATTGGCTTATTACCAATACTACCCACACAGTTTGGATACATAAAGAATTGTGTTTAATATTTATACTAGAAAATGAGCCTAAAGAATCATATATAAAAGTGTACATCAGTTCAAACGATGATGGAACCATATCTTAACATGATTTTCAAGTCAAATTCGAATTGATGACTAGATCGTATATAAATTTGACAGCTTTAGATCGATCCAATCTAGTTTAGAAAAGATTATGTTCAATTATATTTTTTTATTTCCATATATTTTTGTTTAAAATTTTAATTATTTCAAATATACAAATGATTCATTTATTAATAAAATTAATAAAATCAATCATGTAATAACAAACGTATTAAAATTATCTAAATGGAATAATTCTTACATCACACTTAAAATCAAAATTTTGAAAAAGTATAATTTAATTTATGTTAGCCTAAGTTGTAGTTGCAATGTGAGCTTAAAGACAGACTTGGGGGAACATAGGCTAAGTTAGAAGAATCGTTCAAAAAAGAAGAAATGTTGTATGCTTTAACAGGTATAAGTGAGTTAGTTTTAGTGGAGGGATACATTAATAGATTGGTTATGACATAGGGATAAAAATATTAAAATTTTCATGCATAGGCTTTAAAGAAAAGGAAAAGGGATACAATTCCATAGGTTAAAAAGGGGAGAAGAAGTTGGTGAAATGAGTAGGGAAAGATTACAAAGACTTTTATTGACCATTTTCATAGTGTGAACTCAATAGTTGTTTAACTAATGTGGCATTGTAGGTATTCATCATAAAAAAATACTTTATTCTTACTCATAGCAAATTAATATGAAAGTCCAAGGTATCAAGCATTTTCTGAATAGAACAAAGTTTAAGATTAAGAGATTTTTCTAAATTGACTAGATTTCTTTATTATGAATATTATCTTTAAAGACCCGATAGAAAAAGTAAAAAAAAAAAAAACAAATTAGGGTTGAGAGATCGAATTTCTTCAATTGAATTATGTTTTTAGGTAGTTTGAACTATCTAGCTCACAATAGTAAGGGAGATAATGGCTGGGGAAATGATCTTTTCTATTAATACACTATCCCGTTTGTTTTTTTTTTGCCTTTTTATTTATATTTAGTTATCATTTTGAACAAACTAATTGACTTGCACGGTGGATAATAAGATTTATTTTTCATATAATAACATGATATCTAATTATAAGACTAGGAAGATACCCAATAATATTACAAAACGTGAAAACAGACGCATACACAAACTACAAAGACAAACATATCTACAAACCAAGAACCAAAGGAAGATATACAAATCATGGACTAAAAAAAAAATAAAGGACCATTAGAATATGAGTAGAGTGGATAGAGAGTGAAGAATATAATAAATAGAGTGAAGGAAGACATCACAAATATTATAGAACGAGATGACTTATATAAGGGAGTGAAATAGGTTATAGATTAAGTGATGTTGCTGCTAAAAAAAAAAAAAAATGAAATTAAACCTCGGAATTGGAGGATCAATTATCCCGAGAGAATGCATCAATACTTTTCTTGTGATCTCTTATTTTTAATTTATAAAATTACATATAAAATTTTGTTGAACAAAAATTCCAGAACAACGAATCTCAAACTTTGACCTAATAAAGCAACGTAGAAACCAAATAAGATAATCTACATGAGGTGGAACAAATGATCCTCACCATTCTTCGTAGCAACCTTTTGAGCATCTAACCGCCATCCATCCCGATTCGTTCTTCCATGAAACGGATAAAAAGTTTAAGTAGGTCCCACTTTTGTTCGGGTCCCATAGATACAATCTTGGCTTGTAGATGCTTTGTTCTAGATAGAGGATTATAGATGCTTATTTCCGTCTATAATCTCCTATAACGGCGTGAATTCATCGTTTGCCCTTGGCTCTTGGTGGGTGAGAGTACCAGTCCTCGACAATGATGATGCATTGGATAACAGCTACTCAGATTCTCTCCCTTTCACGAATTCCCCTTCGCAATGATTCTCCTTGTTTTTGCTATAAGCGTCGAGTTTCTAAGCCCAATCCCTTCTCTTCCAGTAACAGAGTTCTCTATTCCAGCTCAAACCTCAGGCCTTTGCGAGCTACTCTGAGTTCTTCTCCAGTAACCCAAGAAAACGATGCAAAAGAAACCGCTTTGAGTCTCCGAGACATTTGCCATGGCCAAGTTCCTGAGCACGTCCTGCGAAGGCAAGCAGCGTGCATCTTCATTTCCTCAAGATTTCTTACTCTTTCATAGTTTGAATAGTTTCAACTTTCATTTGGGTACCTTTAATGGAAAAATGAGTGAGATTGGGTATAATCTTTTCATTTGTTAGGCAGTGCATTTGAGTGTTTTTTGAGTAGATTAATTTGAGTGTTAATAATGACAATTGGCCAACTCTTTGAGAGTTTGAATATTCTTAAACTTGTAACTTTGATAATTTTTAACGCAATTGTTGAAGAGAAGCGATAGTAGTCTGTTCTTTTCCTTTTTTTGTACATTGTTGTGAAAAAGTTATGTTTGTAACAGATGAACAAAACGAATTTCTTTGAAAATCTGTGCTTGAGAGTATGAATTTCCTCATGAAATAATTGAAATATGAAAATATATATTACAGAATTATAACGAGAGTTTGAAGAATAATTTCAAATTCCATCAATTTTGACGGAATTCGGAGTATAGTGTTTCAGTTCGAGTTGGAACTCTGACATGGAGCAATTTTATAACTTTTGAGTAGATCGGATCTCTCTATTAAATTAAGATAAATTCCCTATAAATTCACAAATTCTTCATTTTCCGCACAAAGTTTAAGTGTTGATGACAGTTATTGCTAAAACTAATAAATGTTAATGCTGTGCATATCAAGAATGCTATGATTATTTTATTGAATGAGGAAACTAGGAGGTTAATAATAATTTTGGAATAAAATTCAAATAGGTAAATAGTGACTGAAAAATTTTTGGGACTAAGTTGCAGGATGGATGAGGTTGGATATATTATACCTACAGATGCACAGCAAGAGGCTCTGCCTATTCTGTTTTCTGGGCACGACTGCATACTTCATGCTCAGGTTGATTTCTGTGGTTGACTACTTTTCCTTTGTGCTTTTTATCCACGCATATGATACTATCCTATGGTTGAAAATCCTAACCAATATTAAAGTATTTTATTGCAAGACTTGCATACTTCTTGTTCAAAATAGTTTATTCTTGGTTCGGTCATCTAGACAGGTTCTGGAAAGACATTGACATACCTACTATTGATATTTTCTGTCATAAACCCCCAAAGATCTGCTGTGCAAGCGCTGGTCGTGGTTCCTACACGGGAGCTTGGTATGCAAGTAAGAATTACCAGTAATGGTTTTACATCTTATTGTCTACTGTATCATAATGAAAACCGTATCAGAGGAAGTGTAAAAAGGAGTGAATGCTTAAAAAGGTGGACCTATTTTGATGTTATAATTCTATTTTAAAATAGGTCACAAAGGTGGCTCGGACTTTGGCTGCAAGGCCCATGGAGCTTAAGGCAGAGCAAAAGTCCTACACTGTCATGGCTCTTTTGGATGGAGGAATGCTAAGAAGACATAAGAGTTGGCTAAAGGTGCAGCATCCTAATCTCTTGTATATTCACTAAAAAAATTACAGTATTTTAATCTTTAGACTTGCATTGTAAAGCATTCTCAGAAACAGATATAACGGCATGAAAGAATGAAGTTCATTAATGACAGAATCTGTAAATGATAGACAGTTTGCTGTATGATAGCCAGATTAAATGGTTAGCAGTTCGTATCTGGTGCCAACTCTGTAAATTTCTTCAGAAGCTGCTGCTTGTAATTGTACAAATTTTCCGCAACTGCTGTGATGGCTGAAACTATCATCTTTGAAAATTTGGCTATTTTTTAACCTCAATTCGATTATAATTTTAACAAAGGTCATGGTAATATAGGGAGAGAAATATGTTTATATATTTGCATGTATGCTTAGTGGTAACCTCTATCTTTATGATCCATTTAATTCAGCACTTTGGACTTTCAGGCAGAGCCACCTACAATAGTTGTAGCAACTATTGGAAGTTTGTGCCAGATGCTGGACAAGCAAATATTTAAACTTGACTCAATCCAGGTGTTGGTTATTGACGAGGTAAATGTGTGTTCCTTTTAATTGCCTTCTGTTTTCAGGAAAAACTATTGCTAGCAGCATCATTTAAGTTGTAAGTTAATATTAGAATTGCAAACTTGTACAGCAGAAACATATATGAAATTTAGAAGAATTTGCATGTGATTTCATTTGCATATTAAAGAGTTTTCTGTGAATAGTTGTGCTCTTTTAAATGCCTCTTTTGTTTGTTATCATGTTAATCAAGCTGTTCCACTATTTTTATTGGGCAGATCTCACCTGGAACATTATCTATTCAGAAAGCATATTTTGGACACGAAGGACAGTAATGTTTCGTGCTATTTGTTTGATCAGGTTGATTTCATATTCTACTCTTCAAATCAAGTCAGTTCTCTTCGAAAGCTTTTGACATCATTTTCATCATGCAATGACCGTCAGACTGTTTTTGCGAGTGCTTCTATCCCCCAGCATAGAAGATTCTTACATGACTGTATACAACAGAAATGGATGAAGGTATACATGCTACTACCTTTTTTTCATAGCATCTGCAACACTGGCCCCCAATTATATTTCTTAGACTATGGTTTCTATATTTTCACAGCATCTGCAACAGTAGCCTCCAGTTATATTTCTTATACTATGGTTTCTGTATTTTCACAGAATGATGTTGTGCATGTCCATGTCAATCCAGTTAGGCCCATGCCATCATGCTTATTTCATAGATTTGTGGTAAGCAGTTTTTAAAGCATTAAGCTTAATATAATTACTGTTTTCATGTTACTGCTAGAGAAAGGGTTCTTGATGGGTATATATCCTTATCCTTAACTGATCTGTCTAAAGAAAGGCTTCTTGATGTTTTCTTACTCTAACAGATTTGCAGCAAGAAAAAGAGGCATCAAATGTTGCTTTCTTCATTAGAATCTGATGCACCTGAATCTGGCATTATTTTTGTCAATGAGCAGGTCTGCGAACTATATCATCTTGACATGCTAGTTGCTTTTAATTACTAAATCCTTAAATCTTGTTCACAACAGGCTTAGATTTAGTTTAAACATCAGTATTTGAAATTTTTGTGTTCGACAAGGTTGATTATCAAATATCCGATGGTTTAGTTCAACTAGATTGTCCATAGATCTATGAAAAACTCTGTGCCATAAGGGTCTTCTTTTCTTTTGTACCCCTACAACTCCAATGTTGGAATTTGTAAGAAAGTCCAACCAGGGGTTTCTAAAGGTAGGTTAAATGTGTAAGATAACCTTGTTCATAGCTACCACGCCACTTCATATTGAAGGAATAGATGTTTACTTGTTTCCCCTCCTCTATAGCACATTGGGCATATATATGAAGACAAAGCTCAAGTAGGCCTACAAACTTGCAACAGCTAATTGGTAACTGACTCAGAAATGCAATGCATGTGTTAACTTTCACCTTTGATAGAACTTTGACTTGCCAGAATCCCATGGTAAACAAGCTATGCTAAAATGAAGGCTGTTTAGTAATGTGGTTGAAGAAGTATCCACAAGTGTATGTACCTGATAAATTTAGAGTTCATACCCTGTAATCTGCTATCGTGATGGCTGGAAAGATTCTAATACACTTATACGGTAGGAGTTCTTCAGTTTCTATATGTTTCAAGCTGCCGAAAAAGTGGAAGCTCCAACTTACATTACCATTGGTGAGATAGGAAAACTGGTTAGTTGGGGCTTTGTGGCGTGAGGAAATTTGAAATAAGTGGGGAAATATTGTACTTAGGGGATGATCACCCCTCCAATGATCCTCCTAGAAAGGATGACTCTTTTAAGTATGAGTTTGTAATGATGCAACAAAATTTAAAATTTTAAGAGCACGATTAAGACAAAGGGACGATTCTTAAAATGTAGAAATTGTGCATAAACATGATTTATTAAAAACTATCCTGGATAAAAACTAAATCCAATCTAGGTGTCAAGAAACTAAATATTGGCTGAAAACTTTTAGACCCGGGCTCAGGTGCACTTCAGAATTAGGACAAAGGGAGCTTGAATACAAACTTAGAGAACTTCTATTAAGAATAAAACTTAGAGATCAGTCTCCGATCTTAATAGTCAAAACAACAACCCAATATATGAATACTAATCATCAGTAGTGTTACTTAATACTAAAATAGGATACCTTATATTTAGGCACCAAACTACATTAAAAATAAAAAATTTAGAAAACCTAGTAACTAGGAAAATAAAAAATAAGAACACTTCACTTCAATAAGTGAAGTGTTCTTCATCATTCTCTTTTAAGTAAGGAATTGATTCAACTTATCAAGTTAACCTTATAACGTTTTTCAAATTCTTTAAATTTTTCAATTTCTTTAGTTTTTATCAGTTATTGATAGTGGATTAAGTAGAGAAGGTTTTTTTAAAAATTAAGTTTTTGATGCTAATTGTAATTGTGTGAGTTTTGGATTGCATTGTTGATCTTGGGTTTTGCATCATTTTATACTTGTACAAAAATTATTTATATTTTTTGGACCTTATTGGTCAATTTGTAATACCCCTAATGCAGTCGGAGAAGTCAAAGAAGGCTGGAAATTCTCCTTCAACGACTCTTGTGTTTGAGTTCTTGAAGACTTCATATCGTGGTCCTTTAGATGTTCTTCTTCTAGAAGAAGACATGAATTTCAATTCAAGAGCAGCTTCTCTATTGGTAAGTGCTGGTAACTGTTCTCTGACATGAATTTGAGACATCTTTTACTCCATGATAAGTAAATAGTCAAGATGGTTTTACTTTTTCTATCGAAGTTACTCAAGAGGAAAGTGTTCTTTTGAGAATCATATGTAAAATTTTTCTGAGTTTAATGATATTTGCATGTATGCTTTAAATATTTAGCTTCTGGTTGTTACATGGAAATCAGTGTTTTTTTGAGAATCATACATAAAAATTTTCTGAGTTCAATGATGTGTGCATATGTCTGGTTTAGTTATTTAGCTTCTTGTTGTTGCATGCAAATCAGTAATTCATTTCTGATTTAGAGATCGAGAAAACAAGTAGTTTGCTCTTTCTCAGCTATCTGTAGGGATGGCAAAAAAACCATAACCTGTCAAAACTGTCTGGCCCATTGGAGACCATTGCGGGTTTTAACTGAATCCGAATTGAACTGGGTTGGATCGGAGTTGGTTTTCTGAAGCTGCCCAACCGGGATGAGGCAGGTCCGAGTTTGTATTTTAAAAATCCGACTAAACCTGACCTGGGTTGGATTGGAGTTGGTTTTCTGAAGCTGCCCAACCGGGATGAGGCAGGTCCGAGTTTGTATTTTAAAAATCCGCCTAAACCTGACCTGGGCACAATATATATAAAATGATATTATATATATTTTAAGATTTTAATTAAAAATAGAATTTATAAAAAAATTTGAAAAATATACAAAGAAACCTTAAAACCTATTTACACCTACACCTTCTCCATCACAGCCACCTTCCTCATCTTTGCCTCTCCCAGCCCTCTTCATCTTTGCCTCCATCACAGCCACCTTTCTCTCCATCATATCTGGCTCATTCTCCATCCAAAGCTTTGCAATTTCTTTGCCACAGGCGCTCATCTTTGTCTTCATAATGCTTCCTCCACTCAGCAGCATTGCTCATCTTTGTTTTTATTGCGTCTTTGCTATAGCAACTCATATTCGTCTTGATCGCCTCTTCTCGACTGCAACATTGCTCTTCATCTTTGCCCTTTCCAGTTTCAGCATGATCTACAACATTTACAGAAAGATGATGACATTTTCTTTCTTCTCAGCAAAAGGATCTTCCTCTTGCTCTTATTATGGTTTAGTAAATCCGTGGAAAAACAATCGAAAAGAATTTCTTACCTTCAATGGGGAGTGTGATGTGGATTTCACTGAAAACCCGCATGGCGCGAACAAGAGTTCGGTGCGGTTTTGAATTAGTGTATTTTGTTCCTGGAGTGAGTTTGGTTTTGGAAAAAACCCACTCCAAATCCGCCCCGTTGCCATCTTTAGCTATTTGTTTATGTATGCTTGAAAAAATGATGTTGGCTGCTGTTAAATGTTTTGATGCTTTTAATATTTCATGTTTGATGAAGCCAAAGTTTAAATACAGGAAGTGAGACAAAGAGGAGGTTATCTTCTTGTAGCTACCGATGTTGCAGCTAGAGGGATCGACCTTCCAGAAACAACTCATATTTACAACTTTGATCTGCCAGGAACTGCTGTAGATTATCTACATCGTGCAGGAAGAGCAGGCAGGAAGCCATTTTCGGACAAGAAATGTGCTGTTACAAATTTTATCATGTCGGGAGAGAGGTTTGTTTTGCAAAGATATGAAAATGAACTGATGTTTAACTGTGAAGAGCTTATACTATAATTCCAAATTTATAATCTCAATTCACAGATTTCCTGGTTTCCATCTTCCATTTTGGTTTTAATATACCACGAATAAGAATAGGTGGAAAGAAATGTAACAAGAAAAAAGAAGTTAGAAAGTCAGCTAGTTAGTTTATTTTTTATTTTAGGTTGTTAGTGATCAAACAGGTGTGTCAGTTAATCACTTACGAAAAGGATCTATAAATACATTCCTTTAGTGTATTCATAAATCATCGAATCCTGAACAAGAATTTCATTATTCTCTGTATTTCTCTCTCTTCTCTCTCTGCTCCTTTTTTTATTTGCTTTTCCAAATTTTTCTACTATCATTGATATGCGACTGCATGGGAATTACTGATAACATGATCTCAGGACTATAGGAGATTAGATGAACTCTTCATGCAAGAGATATGGAGACCAAAAAAAATGGGGGCATTTGTGCAAGGGGGTAAAAGCGAAGGGGAATAAATGGCGAGAATTGAAGAATTAAAGTAACTGGTGCTGCAAACTAAATATGCAAGGTGGAGTGGGCAAACAAAATATAAATGGTGAAGAAAGAAATAGGATAACAGCAACCAAAGTGAATTAAAAGGAAGCACAAGTATTTGATTTTCATTTTAAGCTTTTACCAAATAGAAATTTAGCTGGAAATTAGGCACTCAAGAAAGCTTGAGTAAAATCCCAAAATTTGTCGGTGAAAACTTAGAGGGAAAGCATTGGAGTGAAACCGGGTGTATATGAAGATGAGGTTCATAGAAGACTGGCCTTTGTGCGAGGTGTATGTTGGATTCCTTAATGGTTGGTCTGGTGATATGCTGCATTATGACCAATTGGCAGAGTGGACAAATCTAAAGCAAACAAGCTCCTTTCAAAGTACTTTGAGACCTTTGATTTATAATATCAGTTAATCCTAATAGGGGTTATGGCTAAACTTACGAAGACTAGTGATTAAGTGCCCAAAATATGTACTAGATATTCTTACTAATGAGCCTCAATCAACACGAACAACACTAGATTTCATATCTGCACTCACCGTCAGATTATAAATGGATTAGCCTTTGTAATGTAGTAATGAAATTGGTTACAAAATGCAAAGCTAATCTATTGAAAGCCTTCTTTCTGAAAATACATCATAACTCAACAATATGCTTTTGTTCTGGGTTGCCTGATCATTAACAATGCATTCATTACCTTGAAATTATCTCATCATTTGAACGATCATTCTTCCTCTCGAACTGGATCTTTTGAACTAAAGATAGATATTACTAAAACTTACAATGAGTATCATGACCTTTCTTATAAGGCATGTTAGTTACACTCGGTATTGGTGATGTATTTGTGAATTGATAATGGATTGTGTTACCACCATACTATGCTCTGTATTGGTGAACAGGAAACCAACACAGTATTTTTCTCCAGATAAGGGTATCCATTAAGGGGAACCTCCTATCACCTTGTTCATTTTATATGCTGAGACTTTTCAGCTATGCTATATAGTGGTCAAGAGGAAGGAAAAATTCATGGTCTGAAAATCTGCAAAGCTGCTCCATCTCACACATTTTATTTGCATATGATTATCTCATTTTTGACTGACGAATCAAGCCAAAGTTTAAGCTTTATCTACCATTTTGAAAAAATATGAAGTGGCTTTAGGCCAATGCATCAATCCATAGAAAGTGGCAATCTCATTTTCTTAAAGAGTGGGAAGGCACCACTATCTAGAGTTGAAAAATCAGTTGGAAATCAACGTGGTAGTGGTTCATGACTATTTTGGACTTCCAGCATTGGTTAGTCAATGTTTGATTTTGACTTTAACTTTTCCTATGGACTATATGGCAAAGAAAGTAGATAGCTAGAAGATGAATAAGCTATATAGGGCAAGGAAAGAAATAAGGTGATAGCCCAAGTAATCCCTTAATACATTATGAGTATCTTTCTGATCCTCAAATGTTTGTGCTCACAGCTAGAGATAATAGTCTCTAATTTTTGGTGAGTTAAAAGACAGATGAATGTAAAATATATTGGATGGTAAGTACCAAATTGTCTACTAACAAGCAAGTGGGAGGCATGGGATTCAAAGACTTTCAAACCTTTAATTTGGCTATGTTGGCAAAACAAGCTTGTCGTATTCTGCATAACCCTGATTATCTTATAACTCCTATGTTGAAGGTTATCAGCACTTTGGTCATGGTGACTTCAGGACTGCCCAAGTGGAAGCTAGACCTAGCCATACATGGAGAAGCATCCTGGCAGGAAGAGATATGCTCGAGGAAGGATTGAGATTGCAAATTGGGGATGGTAAAAGTGTTTCATATTTGGACTTATAAATGATACCATCTCAATCAGGCGAATATCCTAGGGCTTTATAAACCTAGTGACCAAAGTTCTTGTGCGCACCTTTGTTAGTTAGAGGATTTGGTGTGCACTTGGTGGATCCATAACCATGTCCAGAGAAATTGGAAAACCTTCACATAGAGAAAAGGTGTTTTTGTTTCTTTTCATAAAATTTAGTTCCCATCAAATATGAAGTGACTTTGAACGCGAATTATTTCACAATTGAATGTATCATTCATATTTCTAACAATGGTTATGAATAGTTAATTTAATCCTTAACATGAAACAAATGAATGCTTGCAAGAGGATGGTAAAAATTGCGGAGAAGTTTTTATCAACTATTATTTTTTTCAGCCAAGATTTACAGTAACCTCATTGTAAATTCAAAAATAAGCATGACCATCATTTGACCACTGCTGAACATAATGGGTTACATTTTCGTGCTTAATTTAATTTTCTTAGACTTTTTACTTTTGCTGTTAACCAACAAAACAAAAAAAATTAAGAAAAATGATGGAATAGAAACTTAAATTATATTACAAGTCCATCTTCAATCGTTGAGTTCTTCAAAATGATGGCAATCCCAGATCTGATGTAAAATCCCTCTGTGGATCTATCAGCCTCTTGAATCCCCTGCTTATCATCACATAAGTTAGTACCAATGTCAAATATTCACTTATATTTATCCTTTTATCTATTTATACTTTGCAAATCTTACCTCTGAGTTTGCAATCACCACATTCTTACCAATTCTGGCATTCTTGTCGATGATGCAGTCTCTACATGATATTAGGATAATACGTGTGAGTGAAAATATTAAAAAAGTAAAATGAAAAATGAAGGATAAGGCTGGTTATACTTGATTTTTGTATTTTCTCCAATTCCCATTGGAACTCTACCCTCAGTTAGCAGGGATGTAATTTCAGCATCAGTTTCATAAAAGTCTGCACCAAGCATTACTGTATCCTGCCATCAATAGGGGAGTTAAATCAAGAACTGATTCCTATTTATTTATTTACCTAACATCTTGTTAAGGAAGCATAGCAACCTTCAAGTGGACATTGGAGTTTATTCTGGATCTGATACCAACAACACTGTGTTCTATGAAAGAGTTGGTTAAGAAACTTCCATGAGATACGATTGAATCAACAATCTGCATAACATATGGTGCCATCATACTTCCTAACACCATCTAGAGGAAAATCGGGATTTGTTCAAAGAAATGGTGTTGCTGATACCTTGCTATTGTCTATCTTGGATGGCGGTAGGTTTCTTCTTGATGTATACATTGGCTTTGCTGCATCGTAGAAACTGAACTTGGGTGGCTGAGAGGCAAAAATATTATGATTATAGGCTGCAAGTCTCTTGGTTTCAGCACCAGAAAAGAATGACAACATGTTTACTTACATGCGCAGTTAGGGCAAGGTTTGCCTCAAAGAAGGATCTTATGGTCCCTATATCCTCCCAGTAATCATTGAAGAGATAAGCCTTTCATTAACCAAAAAGAAAAAGTTATGTAAATAAATTGTCTGATACATGTTAATTATATCAAAAGTTAAACATAAACCTTTATGAAGAATTCTCTGGCTGAGGCAGGGATAATTTCTGATCCAAAATCATTTGCTGTTGGAAAACGCCATCTAAGTGAAACAACAATATTCATGTTTTGTGAAGTCAATTTGCAATCTCCTTAATTAGTTATTCTTTGTTTTATCAATATCAAAACTTCAAAATCTTCAAGGACATCCAGTAAGGTTACCTCAAAAGGTTCAACAGTATCTCCTTCTTGAAAACATACACCCCCATTGAAGCAATGTATGGCTTCTTCTGAGCCTCATCCGGAGAAAGTCCCAAAACAGTTGTGTCTACTTCCTAAAGCATATCTCATGTTACCATAATCACAAATTTCTGGAAAGCTGAAATGACTCAGAATCTTTAGTCATACCATTGCTTTCAGCTCATCTCCTTTAGGCTTTTCACTGAAGAACAAGATTCTTCCTTTGTTATCTATCTTCATAAGACCAAAATCTGAGGCACGACTATCATGAAATAGACAAAATTACAAACAACTCCGTGCATGATACCAACTTATGAAATTAAAACAATTAGAATAAACTTCAAAGTCTCCATGAACTATATGAGAATCAATAGATGTACGAGTTACATAATTGATTATGTATATATATATATCACTCTCCCTTCTATATTATTGTTTAACTAAACACAATAAATGAAATTTAACTTTATGAGCTTCTACACTATGAATAACTTTCAGGATAGCTATTCTTTTCAGTCTAATCATAAGGATATTCTATGTCATGCAAAGTTTGACGAAAACTATATCTATTATATTGCTCAAAGTGAAAGTCTATAACTATAAGTTCACCGTCATGGCCTTCAAATGTTCAGTTTGAAGTCTAATAGCCGCTAAAAGCAGTGAACTACGGAGGAGCAAGGATCTTTATTGAAATTTTCAGTTATAAAAAAGTTAACCAAAGGCCAACAGGGTATCTTTTCAATTCTTAAACCACTGCTATAGAGCGTTGGAAGCAGCACCTACTCAGTAAGCTCTAGTGGTTGTGCATTTAATTTAGCAGAAAGTGTATGTCAGCCTGTAAGACACCTGGAGAATTGAAAATTCTGGGGAGGCAATTATTGGTACAAGGTAATGTACCTGTCATCCATTGGAAGACAAGAAATGGTGATGTCTGCGCCACTTTGACGATGATTCTGAATTAGGAAAACAAACTTTAGAATATAGATTAACGACTACATGCAATGAGTGAATTGAACAATAAAAAGAGCCTTATAATCTTACCTGAACAAAGTCCATATAGTCCATTCTGTATAAGTGATCCCCAGATAGAATCAACACATCTTCAATCTCCTTACTTCTTGGATCCTATAGACCAACAATAAAAAGATATTTCAATAAAATTAAAGCCTCTGCGACAGATCACCTAGAACAGAAATAAACATTATTGGATATTGAAGATGACATTGAATACCTCAAAAAGCCAATGAAATTGTCGCACAGCATCTGCAGTACCCAGGAACCACCTTTTACCAGCCTCCCCTGGAGTCTGCGTGGCAGCTAAAACCTCGACATAGCCATCTCCAAAATTGATGCCATTGCCAAAGTTGTAAGCGCGAGCAAGATGTCTGTTGAGAGACGCTGAGTTAAATTGAGTGAGAATGTAGACCTTGTTGATTCCACTATTGATGCAATTACTCATCGGCACATCAATCAGTCTGTAAGCACCTCCAATTGGCACCTGAATGAAGAAGATGAATGAGCTTCCACAAATGACAAATGGAAATTATTGAGTGAGCTTAAAACTTACAGCAGGCTTGGCACGGCGTTTGGTAAGTGGGAAAAGCCGAGTCCCGGCTCCTCCGCCCAAAATAACCGCTACAACAGTCCTTGGATCCCGCTTTTGCATCTCTAAATCTCTCAACTACATTCACCAACTTATATTTTAAAATTAAAAAATATTTTAATTTAAGAAATAATTATTTTAATTTTTAAATTTTATTCATTAGAGATTTTGGATATGATCATGTTCATGATCTTTTCTTTAATCTTAAAAATAAGCAAATATTGAACGAAATAATTCTGATTTTAGGCATAATCGTGATTTTTTTTTTAAATTTTAGACGTAAGTAAATATTATTTTATTAATTGTAAATATTTTTTTAATACATTTTTTCTCGTACATATATTTATAACTAATGGTTATAAAGTGCAAAAAATACTTTGGCCCTAAATTACTTAAATCTTTTTATTATTACGTATAATCTTACTTAAATTGCATACAAAATTAGATTTTATTTTATTAAGAATAAAATAGAGTTTTTTTTTAATATATTCAATATATTTGATTAATTTTTTAATAATTTTAATATTTATAACTTAACATGAACTAATATGATATGATTAGTTCTACAAAAAGAGTCTAATATTACATTGTCTAAATTTAAAAAAATAAAAATTTTACCAGCTTTAATACACACCATCTTTTTCCAAATTCTACCCAGACAAAGTTTTGTTTTTTTAATGTTTTTTATATTTTAAATTTTAATATTTTAATTATAAAAGTATTACTAAGTTTTTAAATTTTAAACTGTTTATGTATTTAAATTAACAGATTTTGTATTAATTTATTAATAATTAAAATGTAAGTAATAAAATACTAAAATTAAGCCCATGTGTCAAAACATAATTGTAAATTTACCCGAAAATTAAAATTAAAATTAGACTAAGCATATTCTGAATAGATTTCACCTTGCCCTCGCTTGCTACATCAGCCGTGAGAGACATGCAAACATGTTGTCTGGCAATCTCGGCGGCGCCACCATTTGCGGAGAGCTGTGCCATCTTTGGTTTAACCTTTCCTCCCATTAACTCTCCATTGCAAAACTTGACGACCCTCCATTTACTCTCACCCAATCTGCAGCTACCACGTAGGCTGCCCGCCGTCGACAGAGATATCCCGCCGTCAGCCCAGACTGCCATTGTTTCCTTGAGAACTCTAAATGAATCAACAGCTAAAATATCCTATTTACATATACATGTTTATAATATATGTATGTATATGTAGATATAGCAAAGTAAACGTAATTACTTATATGGGAATATGAATATGCATGCTATTGGACGATTGGTCCACGTACGCTATCCTCAAGCAATTCTATCCACTAGTTTCCTTTTTGGTTTTTTTGGTGTGTGCTTGTAGCGACTTTGTTTTTGTAAATTTTGCTCTCTTATTTTTTTTTAATTCATTAATATATTATTAATTGATGTGCAGGGAATGTGCTCCAGGTTGCTACTTCAAGATTTTTCCATCTCCCGTGTCAAAACTCAAAATCATAACACCCACATAAACAAACCATAGACAAAGAAAATTTACTCATGTTATCTAATCATTTTACTCCTTTTACCTGGATTATTTAAGGTGTTTTCCACTATACATCCAATCTAGGTAATTAAATTAAGGCCTGTTACTGCTCAGTCATCGAGTTATTAATTTCATTCTCTTTGGCATTTTGATACTCTATAAGAAAAAAAATATATATATTAATTGATGCTAATTGAAAAGGTAAGAAAAGTCACCAAAAGTTTAAAGAAAGATAAAGACTGATGCAAAATTCAAGATCGACCAATATGATCAGGAATTCACACCATTTCATTCAAGGCACCAAATGAATTTAATACTATAAAAACCTTCCCTACTTACCCATCTATAAGAAATGATAGAAACTAAAACCACTAAAAAAACGAAGGATTAAAAAGAATAATGGAAGAACAACACAGTGAATTACCTTGATAAATAGATCCATTCTTTGCTCAATAAAAAAGATGAAAAAACCTCTCTTAAATAAGACTCGCAATATTATTAATTTCAATTTTAAATGCTTACAATGAAAACTTGATGCTCTATTTATTGAATAAGTTATATGAATAAAAAAATAATAAAAAACTCCTAATTTAAAATTATAATTATCTAGAAAATTAATTAAAATTAAATTCTAAATCCCTAACTAGGTATAATTACCTAGAAAATTAATTTAAATTTAAATTCCTAACTATGATAGATATGGTCTTCCCCATTTTCTTGGTTGATTGCTTCCTTTTTTTGCCCCTTTCCATCATGTGCTAGAAATAAGTCGGTTTTGACTTCCCCTGTTTAGAAAATCTTTTAATTTTCATATGAACTCATACCCAACCTCCAGGTTAAAATGTGACTTGGTTTTTCCCTTTATTTGATTTGTGGGTATATGATTCGTTCTTTTTTTTCAAGTGTTCTCGTTCCTTTTTGTTTATAGTTTTGACTAACTTTACTCTTTGTTGTCTATCCAGATTAGCAAGTTCCAAGATACGATCACAAGATATGATTCATCAAATGCATAAAAGTACTGGGAGTATTAGTCAACCCGAAGGGCATAACTAACCACTCATACAAACCATATTTAGTTTTGAATGCAGTTTTCCATTCATCACTAGCCTTCATGCGGATCTTATGGTAGTCACTCTTCAAGTCTATCTTGGTGAAAATGCTTGCACCACTCAACTCGTCGAGCATATCATCGAGCCTAGAAATGGGGGGTGTCTATATTTAACTGTCATTTTATTCATAGCCTGACGATCCACACACATCCTCCATGACCCATCATTTTTGGGAACCAATAGGACTAGTACTATAGAAGGACTCAAGCTCTTACGAACATCTCCCTTCTTCAGTAACTCCATAACCTTTCTCTGAATCTCTTTTGTCTTTTTGGAATTGCTTTAGTAGGCGGGTTAGTTGGGAATTGATGCTCCGGAGGTGAAGTCTATTTGGTGCTTGATCCCTCGTATCGGTGGTACCAGCTCTGGGGAATTGTAGAAAGAATCTCTTTACGGGGGTACAGCTGTGACTAGTTTTGAAGTAGCTTAGAGCTTTCAACTTCTGCTTTCGACAGCTAAGCAGGTCAGTAGGCGAGCGGTTCATTTCATTTCAGTAAGTGGTTTAGGGCAACTCGGGTAAGTGGATCAAAGTCAATTCTAGATTTTCGGCACGTTCGAATGATTATGTTTAAGACCCTAACGATTATGTGAAAGGGGATTCATTTGACTTTTGAGCTAACTAAACTCAATTTTCGGTTAGCAGGTGCAGGTCAAGCGAGAAAACAAGAGTTCCAGTACAACCAGACGAAGCAATAAGAGTTCCGGATCATCCGGGCATAGAAAATCAACTAACTGTAGATGCTATTTTATATGCATTCTGGGATGAAGGAAAAACTGATCTTCCCCACCTCGACTCCCGCTCAACCCATGGAAAAGATTCCCTAAAAAACAAGATAAACCGAAAAAACAGAACTCGGGGAGCATATCTCCTCTGGAAATATGTCCTTGAATTTCTATAAAAGAGATAATAGAATACTAGGCAAATAGGGGGTTAAGGTAAGTTAAATTCAAATAAGCCTCTTTGTGCTGAAATATAACTAGACTTTGTTTCTCATAATATGCTTTTCTCAACTCTCTTTCCCTCACAAGTAAACACTCTTTTTTCCATCATCTCTCTTATCTCACTAGGCCTCCTATTTTCTTTTGGGACTTTTGCTCTCTCATTGGACCTTCATTTTTTTTGGTCTCTTTATCACTCATTGGGCCTTTTATTTTCTTTTGGGCCTCTGTTTTGTTCACTTAGTGGGCTTTTTTTTTCTTTTTGGCCTCTTTTATTTTTTTTTCCTTTTCTCTTTGTTTGTGTGGTTTTGACATTCCTTCCATGGACCTCTTAATTTTCAGCTAGTTTTTGCACACCATGTGGCAACGGGATGAGAGTGTGATTTCTCCCATTAAAACTAAAGGTCTAGCAGTACTTGAGACCGTCATGAGTAATTCGTCTATTGTATTGTTATGGTTGACCTAAGAGAGTGCGACTAGTATCCATAAGTATGACATCATAATTAACTTGATCCTGATACCTTCCTATAGTGAAAGTTATCATTATCTGCTTGTTTACTCTGATATCTCCACACTCATTCAGCCACTATAGCTTATATAGGTTAGTATGCTTGGTATAAGTCAACCCTAATTTTTCAACGAGTGTTGTGTTGGCTACGTTAGTGCAGCTCCCTCCATCGATGATTATACTGCATATCTTTCTACCCACGAGACACCTTGTATAGAATATATTCTCTCTCTGATCATCCTCCTCCTTTACCTAGATATTGAGGGCTCTCCTTGAGCTGTGTACTCATGTTCCTCATCCATAACTTCTAGTGATGACATGCTATCACTTTCAGAGTCACTGTCGATCTCGCCATCGTCTCTTAAAGACGTAACCCTTTTATTTGAGTATTGGGAAATGATGTGCCCAAAATATAAAGACCTGAAACATTTGATAGTGCTATATTTCTAAGATGAGATAGGTGTCTTACTTTTATAGTCGGGTATGGCCATATTATCTTTTTTTTTTTTGCCTCAACTACTTTCTTCTCCTCTTTCTTTGGCCACCTTAAGTTAAAGGTAGGAGTGGTATGAAAAATCCTCTTACCTTTACTCTTAAGTTATCTCTCAATCTTCATGGCCATGTGGACTATGCCTTCCACCTCTATATAGTGTTGCAGTTCTATAATGTTGGTGATGTTTTTATTGAGACTCCCTAGAATTCTTGCCATAGTTTCCTCGAGATCCACTTCAATATTGGCCCTTATCATGGCCATCTCCATCTCCTTATGGTAGTCCTCCATGGATATAGATCCATCTGTTAAGTGCTATAACTTTTGATGCATTTCTCTATAACAGTAAGAGGGTACAAACTTTTTGCACATAATTACCTTCATCTCTCTTCAGGAAGAGATAAATCATTCTCCGTTACGTTGCTTAGTGAGAAGTAGTTGATTCCACCACACTAAGGCATAATCAATGAACTCTACCACTGTTAGTTTGATCTTCTTCTCTTCATGAAAATTATGGTAATCAAAGACCAGTTCAACCTTCCTCTCTTACTCCAAGTATGTTTCAGCATCATTCATTCCTTTGAAAAATGGTATTCTCATCTTTATGAAGTTGATGTTGCCATCCCTCTTATCTTCTCTCATTTATACCCAAAATTCTTCTTCATTTTTATAGGACCCAGTCTCATTTTCACGATGCTGAGTTCTAGGCCGTCTTGTATTAGGGGTCCCCTGTCTTGCTTCACTTCGACCACTACTCAAGTTATCTATTTTATGACTAAATTGTGCCAATTCTACCTGCATAACCTCTATAATAAGCCTTATATCGGTGGGGCTTTGAGGCTCACTGAACATTTTAGAAGATTTCATGCAAAAGGATTAGTAAACAAAGAAAACTTTGCTCATTAATTCTCTCGAATTGCACACACTTGGCTTTTATCCTTTGATAATCTCACCCACTCTTGCCTTTTATCACTTTATCTTCTGTCCTCAAGTTGAGTGTTAGATAGACCCTTTTAAATCAAAATACTTTCAAGTATTGTTCAAGACACTGTAAGGAGTCTTATGAAACAAATACTAGAAACAAGAGCTTTAACACACGGATGAAGAGAGAGTTTGTTATGTTATAATGTTAAGCACTAAGGTGTGAATTAGATACTTAGATATGTTATAGAACTAAAGTTTAAAGTAATAAAAGAAACTGAGATTATAAAAAAAGACAGTTATAGAATATGTAGGGATTTGGTATTACCCATAGGGAAAATCCTAAAGATGTTCCTATCAAATCTAGACCTGTCTTATGTTGTGCTCTAAAGTAAAGATGAAGCCTTGGCACTCGATGATATGTATAAGTATGAATGCACGTTGATTGTAAAATAAAGATTATATATATATATTTTTTCCTTTGAAGAGTTTTAGTTCTTACAATGTAGTAAGAAGAATAGTTGAGCACCAAAAGGTAAGTACTATTCCTATTATTAGGTTATTTGATCAGGATTTCTTTCCGTAGTTTCCTTTATTTCTCTTATTTTCTCTTATTTTATCATTTTTTTAATGATGTAAGAAATGTAAACTGTAAGGAAAGTAAATAACTAGTGTTAAGATTGATGTTTAACAGGGACGACAGACGAAGAGAACTATAAGTTGTTGCTTCTTGCTTGGA